GAAAATCGGATTACAAATCTTTCGATATCATGTAGAGGGTCGCAAGAAATGACGGTGCTAAGGTAGGTCGGAGGGGCCACGCGGCGCGGTGACTATATCTGCCCTCCAGAGCTGTGGACTCTGGCCGTCTGCGCTCTGCTGGCACTGAGCCTTGGGCAGAGAGCAGATTAGGGCCCAATTGGTTGCTGGGAAGTTTTTGCAGAAAAACAACCTCCCTGCTCCGATTTCCTCTAGTGCCCCCCCCCCCTTTCAGGGAAATCTCACAACGTTGTGGTAACACGTGTAAAGTGACTGTCAAAGAAAAGTATTCCTCAGGTCAAGAACGACCCGCCTCAATCCAGCAGCCAATTACGACACCTTCCTTGGGGATTCCAATGCTTACGACGACCTTGGGGGGAGGGAGGATGCAGTCACGCCATAGTGTAGCCCCTCTGAACTAAGTCAGTGCATGAATGACTCACCAACATTCCGGTTTTGTGATGCTACGTTCTCCTTCCTTAGCTGCTAATTCCTGCAAAGCCCTTCGTTTGTTCTCGAGGTACTGGAAGCTACGAAGTTACTGAAGTCACATCTCGTTGACAAATGGAGTGGACTCAATATCCTTAAGATAGGAAGGGCGTGGCTGCATAGTTCATTAAAACAAAAACAAGGCATGATTGTCTTTTCCCCGGGGTATTCCCACGTGAGACAACAGTCATCCAGTCTTCCTCATTGTTACAATTGTCCCAACGCGGCAATATCTTACGAAGAGCTGAGTCGCTGCTACATTCGAACGAAGGGCGCAGCCATGCCCACTCCATCTTCGGGATATGGTGAGCAACTCTCTAAGCTCACTGAATTCACCTGCTCAGTATCTTGCGAGCTAGTTCAAAGTTTAAACTTAATACAATTCTAGAAAGTCTCATATTTATTTTCTAGTTTCCTTCAAAAAATACGAAAAGATAGGGAACTTTTATTCGTATGAAAAAGTGTTACAACTTTCCTATGAGACGTTACCTCTTCATTTGGTATGACAGCGCTCTGTTCGTTGCTTTTTAAAACAATCCGAATAGCTAGCGGTAGTGAATTCCAGTGCTCGATTGCTGCTTCTTTTGGGAGCTTACTCACTTTGCCTTCTACCCGTACCTAAACATCATACTACAACGGATTTTAAAGGATACACATATCTGATCCCTATCAATATGAGCTGATAGAAAATTCGTTATCGGATAAGACCGCGTTTATACTTCACGACTCAAGACTCAGCGACTTGTCGAGCTCATTGGCTCATCGTTAAACCACCACATCGCTAGACTGATATTTCAAATGCGATCCGGCAGTTGCAGTGGTCCAAGAGTTGGCGATGGAGCGCATTTGCACGATTTCCAAACTTCGCGACTGAGTCGCTCGTGTCGCGAAGTATGAACGCGGCACGATCATATGCAGAGGTACCAATTCCTCCCTAAGTTTTTCACTGAGCAGAACATGGTTGGTAACTGAACTCCAATTTACTCCACTTGGTGTTAATACTTTTACAAGAGCCCCTCCCAAGTATAATAAGGAGACAGGAAATGAGGGTCATATGTATACGTAGTCGGGTGGCATTAATTAAAACACTTCTACTCCGACAGCTATACAGGCAGTTGTGATCAAAGGCACTCCCAACGCTTATCATGTAGGCGGGTTTTACCATTTTGCTTCCCTCATTAACGCGTCCATTTTTGTGGAATTGTAAAAGGAGGACGCGCTAGTGAGAAAGGCAATGGTATAGCTTGACCCCGCCCATGTGATCAGCGTGGACTACTGCCTCAGGTGCAATCTCAGACATAAGAAGATTTTAGTTGGTCCAAGATTTTTCTTAGTAAAAGCCTATGCGAATCCACTGGGTTTCTCTGTTCACGTAATAAAGGAAGGATTCTCCACTCAATAGCTGTTTGTACCACTTACTGCCGTAAATCGCAATTACCTGTCTATTCAGAATTGGCCAGTAGAACAGCATACAAGCATTTGGATTCTCCTGCAGTTCACGGGCTTTTCGGCTATCGTAGCTTGTGTAGATTGAGAAACCATCAACATCGTAGGCTTGCAGCAGAACCGTTCTCGATGATGGCTTCATATCCCTTAAACAGTACAGTTATCTCAGATAACTCCGGTTATAAATATTGAATGGATATCCCCTTGGAATGCGCCACGCATAAAACATTCAGTCGAGATAGCATGAAATTCTGGATGCCCAATGTTTCCGGGGAATAAAAACAGATGAAGCGATGCTTTTTCGTGGGCATCAGCTGCCGCTCGATACACTATA